GGCTCTAGGAAAGTCAGTGAAAAGTCAGTGAAGGCAAGTCAGAGTCCCAGTGTGGGGAAGAGGCTCCCAATAGAGGAGGACCGCGGCCGGTGAGCCCCTTTTATCCTCTGCCTCCTCCCTTCCCCCTTCCCTCCCTTGCCCTCTCTTCCCTTCCAAAAACCACTCACCAGGAAGACCCAGAAGTGTTCTCCTCTCAGCTCCCATCCCTCCCGTACACAAATCTCCCCAAGGCCACCTCCTCATCACTCTCATTGCAAGGTTTTGGGGGCCCCACCAGGGCTAAACCAGGGCCTTGAGTGAGTGACCCAATGACTGAGATCTTCCCACCAACCACTCCTACCCATGTGTTGGATAGGGTCCCGGGGCGGGGGGGTGGACTACAGTAGATTTTTTACCTTCGCCCAGATATCTACCCCATCCTTATTTCCTCCTTCTTTCTCTGGGGTAAGGGGTCACTCCATTTGTCCACAGCTAATCCCTCCATCAGGCTCAGGTCCCATTCCCTTCTCTCCCTCCCCACCCCTCCCTCTTTCTCCCTTCCTAATGGATCTTAACTCTCACTTCCTTCTTCAAAGTGCCCACCTCCATGCCAGCCAATGCAATTAGACAAGAGAAAGCATCTTAAAACCTTGATAGGAGGAGATGAAGTTTCACATTTGCAGACGACTGTGTACTGAAGGTGAAGTACTCTAAAGAAAAATACAGTAAGTTAGTGAGGCACAAAATTCCCACAGAGCTGTAAATTGCATCCTCATCAGATATTATAACGGAAGGAAAGACCTTATTTATAGCAGTGTCAGAAAAGATAAGGTACTTTGGAATAAACTTAAATGTTCAAAACCAATATGAAGAACATTATAAAACTTCTGAAACACAAAAATAGACTTAAAAACAGGCCATGGTCATGGATCCGTAGACTCAGTATCATGATTGTGATTTTTTATGTGTTTCTTCACACAATAATGGGATGCCAATAAAGATACCAAGAGAAGACACGTGCCCAGTCAGCATATAAAGAGAGGCTCAACATCATCAGTCACACCCACCAGAATGGCTCACATTAAAAAGACTGCCAACACCAAGTGTTGGCATAATCACTCTGGAACTGGTTTGGCAGTTTCTTGACCCAGAAATTCTACTCCTAAGTGTTTACCCAAATGAAACATATGTCCCCACAAAGGCTTGTATATAGATGTTCAAAGGAGCTTTATTTGATAATCAGAAATGGAAAAGTACAAATGAATAAGTAAATTGTGCAGCCATTCATACAGTAGGATGCGCAGGCAGTAAAAACACAAACTACAGACAGACATGATAACATGGATGGCTCTCAGAAACATTAGAAGGAGAGGAAGAAGCTAGACACAGGAGGATACATACCGTGTGGTTTCATTTGTTATGAAGTTCTAGAAAAGTGAAATTTAATCCATAGCAATGAAAGAACAGATCAGTGGTGGCCTGGGGCCAGGGAAGGGACATGGGGGAACTTTGTGAGTTGATGGAAGTGTTCTGTATCTTGATTGTGTTGGCTGATGGTTACACGATGTTCACATTTGTCAAAACACATCAAGCACTACATTTAAAATGAGTGCATTTCATTGTCGTATGAGAAAAAAAGTAAAAAGTAAAAAAAAAAAAAGTAAATGCCGGAGGAAGACAGCAAAAACCCTGTGCTTTGAAAATCCCAGTTAAAGAGCAATAAACAATTGGACAATAATAGTAAAAACCCTACACTGAGATGCAATTTTTCACTTACCAGACTGTCAAAAAATGCAAAAGTTTAATAACACCCTGTGTTGGCATGGCTGTGAGGAAAAGCACACTCTTAATCACTAATGATGGGAGTGTAAATTGGAATAACCCCTTAAAGAGGGAATTTGGGCAATATTTGTTAAATTACAAATGCTTTAACCTAGCCATTTCTCTTCTGGAATTTTAACCTACAGGTAAGCTCAACCACAGACGAAGTAGTGTATGTTAAAGTTATTACTACAGCATTGTTTGAAATAGCAAAAACCCCCAAATAATCTAAATGTCCATCAATGCAGACAGGTTAAATAAATTATGGAACATCTGGGGCACCTGGGTGGCTCAGTTGGTTAAGCGACTGCCTTCAGCTCAGGTCATGATCCTGGAGTCCCGGGATCAAGTCCCGCATCGGGCTCCCCGCTCAGCGGGAAGTCTGCTTCTCCCTCTGACCCTCTTCCCTCTCGTGCTATCTCTCATTCTCTCTCTCAAATAAGTAAATAAAATCTTTAAAAAATAAATAAATTATGATACATCTGAACAATAGAAGCCTATGTAACTACAAAACGCAGTGGGAAAAGATCCTCAAGGTGTAATGTGAATAAAGCAAAATTATATTTGCTGTTTCCATTTGTATTTTAAAAAGTCCAGAGGATATATATTTGCATTTTCTTGTATATGCATAAAAAAAAAATTCTGGAATAACCAACAAACTAGTATCAGTGGATACTTGTTTGGAGGAAGGTGTAGGAAATACGTGGATGGAGTCAGGAGTATGAGGGACAATTTTAATAGTATGCCTTTTTAATCTTTGAAGGACGTGATTGTACTAGCTATTCAAAATTTACTTATTTTTTAAATAACATCAAAATAATACATTACACATGTCCATGTGAGCATTTTACTTATTATTATTCATAAGGTTGTCTCAAGGGAAAAAACGATATACAGCAAGTCTAGTTCAGCGCAGGCACGCACATGGTCCGGTGTTACTCTATCCCCTCTCCCCAAAATACACGTGCACACCCCCATACTTCAGGTTCCAGTTCCTGAAATCAGAGGCGCTCAGCTGCCTCTTCCAGCTGTGTCCTCGCAGGGGCTTTCCCCTCTGTGGCATGCTTTGCCCCGTCTCTTTTCTTCTCTCATCACCCTGCCCTGTGGCTGCAAGGGCATAAGGGCATCACCTCCTCAGGGAAGCCTCCTCTGATTGACACCCTCTCCCTCCCTCCCTACCGCTGTTAAGTGCCCCTTGCCTTCCCCAGCAGACTCCAAGGCCTTCTCAGTCCTCAAAGCCCAGGGGCCCTTGAACCTGTGGGCTCCCTTTCCTGGAGTGCTGGCCTCACCAAGGAATGAGTGGCCCTCAACACCGGGAATTAATGGTAGGCCTTACTGCCCACCTATATAGACATTCAGAAGATTCAGTTTCCTGTAAATGTTATGTCGATCTTCCCACACCCACAAAGATAATCTGAGTTTCGATTTCTTCTAAGCTTTCATGAGGAAGACGTGGGGCTTTCCCATAAACTCCCGGTACACTGAGTGCCGCCGTGGAGGAAGGAACAGCTCATATACGAAGCTCACAGTCTGGCAGGGAAGACAGGCACTGATGCAAGGAACGGTGACACAGGCAGTGGGGAATGGCGACAGCCCCAACGTAGAGTGGGGCTCAGTGGAGAGCGGAGGACCGTGCCCTACTAGGCCTTGAGGGTGGTGGGGGAGAGTGGCTGGTGGGGGCGGGAGGGACTGCAGGGAAGGCAGCCTCTGGCTGAGGGCAGAGCTGGTGGGGGCAGCTGGCCGGGGCTCTGACCCTCCAAGGTGGGGGCCCTGGAGCTGAAACCTGAACCCCAAGGCCACACAGTCCACACTAAGAGGACTTACCAGAGGAGGGAAAAGGCAAGCACTGGCAAGAACAAAGGGGAAAAACTAGACGGGGCCTGGTGCCAGGGGGCCTGGAGAAGCCCCGAGGGGAATAGCCTGGTGCCAGAGGACATGGCTGTTTAGCAAAGGGGAGGTCCTGATTTCTGTGGGTTTCTTTTTTCACAAGCCTTTCCAGGAAGTGAGATTCATTTCTTAGGGCTGAAGAAGTAAAAGGCCCCTTCCCTGGGGTTTGGGCTAGAGCACTGGAGCAGAAAGCCGGGCCGGGCTCCCAGGGCTGAAGCCCCCCTGGCCGGGCCTCCAGGCCCAGTTCCTTCTGTTTCCTTCCCCTCTGCTGGGGGAGAAACAGGGACCCCAGGGGGAAGACAGGGAGCTGACAGCAGCCCTGATTCCTCTGCTGACCGTGATCAGAACCCCCACCCTGCCCCTCGGGAGGGTGTCTGCAGGACCAGCCCAAACACACCCATACCCTCTCTTTCCTGGCGAACTTTTACCCCAAAGAGGAACAGAAGAGCCCACACCTGCCCCAGGGTCTCTGAAACCCTTGGCAGGAAGGGGAACTGTGGGTGATTCACATGCATATATTAAGGGTGTGTCAGCCTCCCAGCCCTCATCCTTCCCCCGGTGGCAGTAAGGGCGTGGCCTCGGGAACCCCCCAACCCACCCCCGTGCCCCCACTTCTCTTCAATACATTGTAAACAGCACATTTATTGGTGGTTTGCAAACCTCTGGTAAAAAGCACAGGAACAGGGCTCTCCTACATGCTGCCCTGGGCCCCAGCCCGTCAGGCATGCAAGACGGAGCTGGTAGATGAGTCAAGACATCTTCAGGAGCAGGGCCAGAGGTGGAGAAGGCCCCACACTCTTCCATCCCCCCTGCACACTGACTTGGGCCTAGACGACAACCAGGAAGGCAGGCCCAACTCGATCCCCGAATCCCTGCCCTGCAGTGACTCTCCTTGGTGGCTGCCTTCCTTCTCCCCCACTCACCCTCTCTGATCCCCACTTGAGCTGGGACCTGAGCCACATGCTTGGCTCCCTCGTGCTGGGACCAAACCCGCTGCGGTCAGGCTGTTTCTGCGGGCCCTGTCTCTCCAGTCAGTTAGCCAGCAGAGTGGAGCAGGCCTGGCCCTCTTGTCATCATTCTGTGTACCCGGCTCAGGGAGGGGCAGTCAGCCAGGGACCGGGATGGGCAAAGGCTTGTCCAGAGAAGCACTCTAGGTGAGAAGGGCCAGGTGGCCTGACTCAGTGTCTCCCAGCCTCTGGTGTCTGCTCAGCCTCTATTCATTGGCTCCTGGCTGAGCCTCGAACTTCTCAGGGCCTCAACAATCCAAGGTGTGGCACCAGTGCCTCCTCCTCCAAGATGCCCCCCTGGCTTGATGCCAGACTTGGGGCTGGGCTATGGACAGTCAGCCAAAGCTGCTACTTTAGGGCCCTGAGGACAGCCTCCAGCTTCATGGCCATGGCCAGGTCACCCTTCACCTTTAGCCGCCCACTCATGTAGGCCCCCAGGGGCCGCAGCTCCCTGCACAGAAGGGCCCGCAGGTCCGCTTCCGCCATCTCCACCACCACATCTGGGATGCCGTCAGGCACCCCGTGTCCTACCCTCCCGTGCCCTGTGGAGGGAAAGAAAAATTGAGCATTAGTCGGGGGGATGGCTATGCAGCAGGGGGAAGATCCGGTTAGCATGTCCCACTGGGAGGAGTGGAAAGTAATAGTTAAGTGTTCAGGTTCTATCCCCCTGAGTTCAAGTCTTATTGGCTGTGTGACCACTCCGGGCCTCACTTTCCAAACTGGTGAAATGGGGAGGACGATCATCCCTGAATCAGAGACTCGCAGTGAGAAGTAGGTGAGATCATGCACTGCACGTGCTCAGCGCAGAGCCTGGATGCAGTAGGCCTGCCCTGTGTGCGGGACTCTGGCTGCAGGGAGCTCAGCCGTCGGAGTCGTCCTGCTCACGGGGACAGGGCAGGGAGACAAAGGCCCGGATTGTCATTGTCTGCACATGCTGTCTGAGCCCCTGACTGCTAGGGGTTCCCTCTAAACTGTTGCAGGAGCAGAGAACAGTTTTAAAAAGGACCACAGGGGTGGTGGGGTTGGCTACAAGCGACCTGGCTGGGAAGGCGGGGGCAGGGAAGGCAGGGGCACCTGTAGTGAGGTCGAGGAAGTAGATGCTCTGGGTACCACTGGGCAGGATGACATTGAACTGGTAGCAGGCCCCGACCTGGCTGACCAGGGCCTCCGACAGGAAGGGCTGCAGGGCAGTCAGCAGGCCCTCGGCCACGGGCTGCTTTGGGCTGGGCCCAGCACCAACGTGAGGGGCAGGCTGTTCAGCTTCGCTCACCATCTCCAAGGTGTCTGCTGGGGGTGGCCAACAGAGTTGGGGAAGGAAGCAGAGAGAAGAAAGTCAGTGTGCTGCCAAGGTCAGGCTCACTGTGACCTCTGCACGTCTCATGGCAGCTCCCTCTTATACGCCCTTCAGGCCTGAGTTCGACTTCCTCCTCGGCTAAGAAGCAGCCCTTCAGCTTTCACACTCTGGGTGCTGTCTCTTCCTCCCACGGAGGCTCTCAAAGGCCTGTACGCATTCAGACAGCTGGGCTCTTTTCACTGCCTCAGCTCCCGTGGGCTCTAGCAGTGGGGGAGGCCTGAGCAGCTGGGCAGGTGTGCACTGCTCAAAGGCGCTCAGCTAAGGGAACGGGGAGCAAAGCTGAGCATGCGCAGGACATGGAGCCGAGCACCCCGGGAGCACCTCCCCTTCTTCCCAGGGCTCCTCACCTGACCCTGGGGCTGAAGCACCTCCCGCCACGGAGGACAGGCCTCCTCCCAGGAAGCGGAGGGCCAGCTGCTGGAGGGTGCTGTCCAAGCTGGGCCCCGTTGGGCTGTCGTGGGGGGGCTGGAGCACGGCCTCCACTGCCAGCTCCACTCGGTCCACCTCCAACCCCCAGGCCCTGGTCACATCATTGATTTCCAGCTGGCAAACAATGTGCCGAGAAATGGAATTAAATCGAAAAGCCATTCTGGGAGCACCTTCTTCGGGCTGGAGGTGCCACAGACCCCTCCCGGGCCAGGCTCCCTCCTGGGGAGTGCAAGCAGAGGACAATATACAACCTGGTAGCTGGCGTGAGCAACTAGGACCAGGCCTGACCCCTGGAGGTCCAGGGAGTGGGCAGTGACACCAGGAGGAGTGGAGTCATCCCAGCCAAAGAGTAGAGCAAGAAGGAAGACTGCAGTGCTGTGATTTATAAGAATTAGGCATTTGGGGGCGCCTGGGTGGCTCAGTCGTTAAGCGTCTGCCTTCAGCACAGGTCATGATCCCAGGGTCCTGGGATTGAGCCCCGCATCGGGCTCCCTGCTTGGCGGGAAGCCTGCTTCTCCCTCTCGCACTCCCCCTGCTTGTGTTCCCTCTCTCGCTGTCTCTTTGTCAATCGTGCTATCTCGCTGTCTCTTTGTCAAATAAATAAATAAAATCTTTATAAAAAAAAAAAGAAATACGCATTTGATCATTTAACTGATAAAATATACTTCTATATATTTGTCTTTGTTCCTGACTCATAGCTCCTCCGACCCTTGGAATTGCCTGTGAGGAGAATGATAAAGGGGTCTTTTGTGATGGTAAGAAAGGTGATTTTTGGACCCCACTCAAGGGTGGGGGCTGGCTGCCAGAAGGACCAACTATGTGACTGGAGAATTGGAACTTTTAGTCCCACCCCAGACAATGACCAATGACTTGATCCTCAGTATGCAAAGAAGCCTCCATAAAATTCCTAGAAGGACTGGGTTCCAGAGCTTCCAGACGGGTGAATGCCAGAGAGAGGGGTGCCTGGGAAGTGCATGGAAGCTCTGTGCCCCCTCCCCCGACCTCGCCCCGTGTGTCTCTTTGTCTGGCTGTTGATTCTTACCTTTTATCATATCCTTTAGTCAACTGGTAAGCATAAGTGTTTCCCAGAGTTCTGTGAGCTGCTCTAGCAAAAAAACCCAGGGAAGTTGCTGGAACCCCCAATCCGGAGCTGGTTGGTCAGAAGCATAGGTAACAGCCTGGGGCTTGTGACTGGCATCTTTAGTAAGGAATGGGGAGCAGTCCTGTGGGACTGAGACCTTAACCCATGGGATCTGATGCTGTCTCTGGGTAGACAGTGTCAGAATTGAGTTGAATTCTCGGGATACCCTACTGGTGTCCGAAAATTGCGTGGTGTTGTGTGTGTGGAAACCCCCCTTTCGCACACTGGAATTGGGTCTGGGAACCCCACAAGGACTCTTTCAGTCAATGGAAACAGCATGTACAAAAGCCCAGACAGAACCTGGAAGGTCTGGGGAAGTGTGAGTAACCACGGTTCCATTTAGCTAGACCCTCAAGTGTGGGCTGGGAGACTGGAGACAGCTGAGGGCTCAGATGTGGGTGGCTCCGGCTCACTCGGATTTATTGACACGTGAGGAACCTCGGAGAGGAGTTTAGCAGGGGGGTGACAGCAGACTTGCTCGTTAGGAAGATCCTCCTAGCGGCTCTGTGGACACTGGATTGAAGGGGGCTGAGGGTGGAGACATGGAGACCACGTGGGCCATTGTTTCAAAGTGCAAGCAGAAATGAGGCAGATCTGGTGTCAGAAAGAGAGGTGGCTGTGAGGCCAAGATATGCAGAGGACAGAGCGCAACTCTGTCAACTCTATTAAGCTACAGCAAGACACCAAGGAAACAAGCAGTAAGTGTGGTGGCTGCCTGGCTGTGCAGTGACGCAAGGCGGAGAGGGGCTGGCTTTCTGGTGTGGGCTCCTGCACGGATCGTGAGCATACAGGGACACACACATTTGGGGGTGGCTAGGGGAGGGAAGAGGACTTTTTTTTTTTTTAACATAATCAGCTCGAGGTGTCTATGCAACAGCAACTGTCCACCAGGCGGCTGGATAAATGGGGTCCAGGTCACAGGAGTGGGGCTGGAGCAGAGGGTTGTAAACAATCAGTACCCAGAGGCAGCACGAAGCCTGGCTGGATGAGCCCTCCCGGGCGGTCCCAGGCAAAAAGAGGCCATTGATGGAAACTTGGAAACTGAAGGGCAGGAGAGCAAGGAGTAACCAGGAGTGATCTGGAAGGAGGAAAAGCCGGAGTGGAATAACGGAAGCCAAGGGAAGCAGAGGATCCGAGAGAGGGGGGGAGGAGGGTGCACAGAGTCAGAGGCTCCCACTAGGTGAAGCAAGCAAAGGACTGAGAAGAGCGGGGAGCTAGCAGGAGGGAGGTCACGCTGCTGTCTTAGGAGTCTGGAGGAAGCCTAGACTGAGGACAGGGGTGTGCAGGGCCAGGGAGAGGCGGGGAGAGGTGCGGGAGAGCTGTCAGGGGCTGGGGGTGCAGAGGGAGCCTGCGCCCACGCCCACGCAGGAAGGAGCGGAAGGAGGACTAACAGAGCAGGAACCGAGCCCCGAGCCCAGAGCACTGCCCACGCAGGGAGCGCAGGGAGGAGCCTCGGAGGAAGCACCGCTTGCAGTGAGGCAGGGGGAAACAGCGCAGATGGCGAGGAGGTTGAAGGGGTGACGCTGGAGGAGCTGAAACGGTTCCTGTCCTGGAGTGTTTGCCCCCCCGCCGCCCCCCCCACCAAGGAGGAAGAGGCCAGGCTGCAGCAGGGGGACGTGGTGTGGGGTGAGCAGTGAACGGAAGCAACAGGCCTGGGGGGAAGAGTAAGCAGCTAAGGAGGGTCCAGCAAGGGAGAGTGCGGAGTGTGCGTCCCTCCAGGGAAGCGAAGGCAGAAAAGGGAGTGAGAACGAGAAATGTACGCCTGACCCCTGGCTCCTGGAAGGCAGGCTGGCATTCCCGAGACTTCGTTGTAACCATAGGCACTGACCCCACTCTACCAGGCGCCAACTCCATCTGGGCAACAGGCCCTAAGTGACTAACATCCTGGTGTGGGACCGACTTCCCCCAAACTGCCTCTCTCAGTTCTGTTGCACAACATGCCTGGTGTTCTGGTTTCTTCCCTGACCCGCCCCTGACAGCAATAAGGCTGAGATCAGCTTTCTTCTCTGAAAAGTACACTAAAATGGAATGTAGTTTCATAAATAAAAGTTGTTATCAATTTGTTATCAATTGTAGAAGATGGAGCGCTGGACTGAGGGGTAGGGGGGTGGGAGGGCAGGTGATCTGCCTCTGGGCCAGCTCTGCCCTTGACCATGGCTCTTGGGGGTGACAACTTCTGAGCCCTTAGTTTCCTCCCTCCAAAATAAAACAATATCGGCCCTCTCGCAGCAAAATGTAAAGCGGATACACGTGGGCAGCGAAAGGACTTGTAAACTCTAAAACGCTCAGCACGTGAGAGCGAGCGTCGCGAGCACACTACCATCTCCTCGGCAGTTTCCCCCACGGGGTTGGTCCACTTCCGGAGGGGACTGGGACCTCCGGGACTGGCACCACCCCACCCCTCCCGTCCTCGAACCCCAGGTCCCCAGGGGAAAACAGAGCCAAGGGGACTAAGGGGAAACCTCGCTCCGGGCCCACCAGGACACGGGAGAAAGCCCAAGGGGAGCATGGGCAGCAGGGGCCAGGCTGCCTCAGGTGACACATGCCACATTTCCACCCTATCCTGTCACAGAAGGGATGCAAGGGGAATTCTGGTGTAATTACTCACACATGGAGAGGCAGGAGAAAGGTCCAAATGCCCTTGTGTCACTTTGTTCTGTTCTAAACAAGGAACACAAAGCCCCCAAGATGCACATGCTGCCCTGTGGAGCACGGACTTCCCCAGAAGGTGACTGTGCCAGGAGGGCCCCTGCTCCTTCCACCCACCCCCGCCTGCCTGTGAGGCCCAGCGTTGTCATGGCAACGCCTGCAGAGCAGTGAAGGGTGAAACCCCAGCAGTCAGGCAGGGCCCCAGAATCTTGGTCAGGCCACTCCTCTCTCAGGGCCCCTGTGCCTCTCCAAGACAGGCTTGCCCAAGACCACTATGGGCTGCACCCATCTTCCGTTCCTCAGTCCCAGCCAGACCGCAGCCTCTTCCAAGGTTGGAACATATGGTAAACTGAGGCCCAGAGCAATCTGGTGCTTTGCTCAAAGTGCCCTGGCAGGCAGAGCCAAGCCCAGGACCCACCACTGACCTCTACCATGTGAGGAGCTGCCTACCAGGAGCTGGTCGCTGATCTTGAGCTTCTCCATCTGGATCTCCCGCAGAGGCCTCTTGAGCAGGGCCTTGGTCATGGCGTTCTGGGCCGTCATGCGCGTGGCCATGTTCAGGTCCTTCACAGTCATCACAGACAGTACCGGATCCCAGATGCGGAACTGGACATCGGCCCCCACGGACAGCACAGCCCCATCCTTAGAGGCCAACTGTTGAGGAAGGTCGTGAAAAAGGAGACACTCAAGGGGCTGGTGCTGTAGGGAGGTCAGGCCCACCAAGACCACCTAGCTTGACCCACCCTCCTGGTACCTAGCTCCTCAAGGGGAAAATCATGTCCCCAAGTGCATGTCATTAGGTACACTGAGCAAGGATGTCCTACCAGCCTCCATCCTCAACTTTCTGGTTTCTTCCACCACCCTACCCCTGAGGGCTACTCATACACCAAGGTACTGGCTCCCACAATCACTCTGCACAAGCCCCCACTCCCTCTGTCTGGGGAGCTGAAAAGTTCCTCACCTTGCAGGGAGGGACATTGAAAGCTCGTGTCCTCAAATCCACCCGCTGAAAGGAGTCAATGAAGGGCAAGAGTAGAACCATGCCAGGCCCCTGAGGGGTGCGGATCCGGCCCAGTCGAAACACGATCATCCGCTCATAGGTGGGCACAATCTGTTCATGAGGGTAAGGGAAAGGGGTAAAGTACTGGGCCTAGGCTGACAAGGGCGTCTGCTCAGGTACCCCCACCCCTCTCTCTCCTTTGCCTTGGTCAGTGTCAGCTATCCTTAGATCTTTTTAGAAGAGAAAACCAAGGCTCTGAGAGGTTAAATGATGTGCTCAAAAATCACACAGCCCCTGAGTGAAACAGGCAAGAATTGAATGCAGTTCTGAATGCAGTTCCAACCCCAAGCAAAGGACTTTGCCAACTTTGGAAGTAAATAGGTCCAAATTGAGAAATGAAGGCCCAGAGAGGGTGACTTGCCCAAGGTCACACAGTATTTGTTTCAGTGGCGCTTTTAGGACTAGGATTTAGTACCTTCTAAAGACCTCCTTCTAGACCACACCAAACCCAAAGGCTTTCTAGAAAGTTGACTGTTGCCGAGGGCCACACAAAGGGCAAGGCCTGCCTGGGCTTTCACCTTCACTGCAGCTCTCAGATATGATCCTTAAGTATAGCTCGTGGCTTTCCCCTCTGCACCAGCCCTTGCTAAAAACCAGGCCTGAATTCCTATTACTCATTACCTGCTAGGCCAAGTGGAGTAGTTTTCAGTTCAAATTTTAGCCTAACCCAAAGAAACGAAGGTGTGGCAAAGATATCTGTGTGCACCTTAAAGCCAGCATCCAGACCCCAGGACTTGGGAGTTTGGGAAGGCTTGTTTACCACTCACTGGCTGCCAGTATGACTTTGGGGAAAACTGAGCCTGTTTCCTCATCTAAAAGATATGAATGAACAATCCTGGAGCAGCCCATTTCATTGGGGTGTGATAATGTGATATTGAGGGGAAGGGGACAGAGGGTGGAGAGTGGGGCCCAATCCTCCCGGAGTCTGACCCAGCCAGCCTTACCTTCAAGGCGAACCAGCCAGAGATGGGAAAGGTGATCAGCAGCAGCAAGAACCCCAGGAAACTGATGAGGCTGTGGCAGAAGTAGGAGGGCCAGCTCTGAGGCGCATCTGGGGACAAGAGAGCAGAGGCAGTCAAGGAACGCCAACTGGTTCTGGCAGGACAGCAGCAGGCTGAGTGAAGTTGGTCAAGTGCACCTTTTGCCCACCTCCCCCTTCGGCGGCTCGTCCTCTCAGGGCTCTCTCACCAGGAAGTCTGTTGCCTCCTTACCTAATTCCTGTCTTTAGCCAGATGCTAGTTAAGCATGTTCCCTCCTCCCACACATCAAAACTAATCTGCCTCAAGTCCCACCTCCACAGGGCCGAGTGTCTGCTAGGCAACAGCCATTAGATTTGAGAAGCCAATCCATGTGATGCTCTCCTCGCCGGGTATCTGGATCAATTCTCTTGTCTGATATATAGTGCCTCCCAGGTATGAGAGCCAGGAGCACACGGGCATCGGTAAACACTGTGCTGGGTTGAACTGAATGCTGGTGGCAGAACACATTCCTCCTCTACCATCACCCCCAGAAGTGTGCTTTCTCCAAAGTGTCCTATCTCCAAAAGGGCATCCTTTTGGAGATAATGCCTTAGCCTAAAGTGATAAAGCATTAATGGCTCAATAGGAACCGGTGAGGGCGAAGATGTTCTTCCCTAGCTCACAACTCACCCCCCCTTTAAATGCCCTAAGGACTATCAAATGCTTTACTTGAAGTGGCTTGGGGTAGGAGGTGGGAACTAGGAAGATGAGGCTCATCTGAGACAGAGGTCCCGGCCCCTGGAGAACCAAGAGCCCGGGATGAAAGTGGAGCTTAGAAAGCCCCAGAATCTAGCATGGTTATCATCCTCTGCTCTCTTTCCCCTCCCAAGCGTGGGGAGGAAGCAGACAGGAGCTTTTGCTCAGTCCCCCCAGGAACTCCATGCCCTCTGGGCTCTCCAAGCCCCGGGGCCTTTCCTGTCTGGCTCTGACCCCTGTGGCCCCTGCAGGAAAGGAAGCCTTGAAGAGGGTCAGCTGTCATTACAGGAAGGTCAGGAGAGACCAAATCCTCCCGAGGTTGCTTGTCAGACTGAGGCATGTGGGATCTGGCCCGGGAGCCAAGGGAATTCCTCAAGGCTCTGAAGCAAGAGACGACCAAAGCAGACAAAACAGGCAGCTGAGGGCCTGGCCATATCCACCAGGAAACAGGCAGACGCTTAAGCTTCAGGCACTTAGAAGTACCCCTAGGATGAAGATTCTGCCATTTCTCTGTGGCCAAGCGCCCTCAGGGCGGTGGTGACCTCCCATGCCCAGACTCTGGGTTCTTTCTGGTCAAAATGAGAATTTGAGGGGTCTCCTGCATGGCCCAATCGGTGAATCTGCCGACTGTAGGTTTCTGCTCAGGTTGTGATCTCACTCCCTGAAATCTGGCCCCATCTACTTGAGATTCTCTCCCTCTGTCCCTCCACCCACCCTCCCTCCCTCTCAAATAAATAAATCTTCAAAATGGGAATTTGGAATCCTTTCCCAGGCTTAAAGGGCTGATACGAGCCGAGAGGAGAAATGAGGGGATGAGGCCTGTTTGAAGACGAGAGAGCTCCGGGCCAGGAGTCCAGTAGCCCTAGGGAGGGCGGATGAGCGCTAGCATCCCAACGCCGGGTCCAGGCCTTTCTCTACATCGTAGCCACTCTCGGTGCCTCCTCTTAGGATGCGAGGGCGCCAGACCGGCTGACTCCTGAGGGTACCAGCCGGTCCCCGCCCCGGGTCCGCTGTGCTGGGCGGCCACTCACCGGCCCCCGGCCCCACGCCGCCCTGCTCCGGGGACAAGCAGCCCTTCTGCGAGCCCAGGAAGCCGAAGCTCGACTGCTGGAAACGGTCAAAGTCCCCCAGGGGCAGCGCCCGGTACCCGGACCTGCCGAGCATGGCTCTTGACAGGGGCGCAGCGAGACCGGGCCAGAGAAGCCGGCCGCTACCCGCCCCGCCCCCGCCGGCCACCGCTTCCGGTCTCACTGGCCACGGGCGCAGGAGGCGGCGGCTAGCCGGGCCGGCTCCCGCCATCCCACAGCGCCCCCTGCGCGGGGAGGATCGAGCCCGCAGGAGTCGTGCCTCCCTGCTCTGCCTGGCCTTGGAAAAGGAGCTGGATGGCAAAGTGAGCTTTGTGAGTGGGTTTTCAGGAATCGAATTTCCTCCAGAATCAAGGAAATGCTACCAGCCTTCTCAGCACTCCCGCTGCAAACTCACATACTGGGGTGGGAGTGTTGGGATGTCTTATCTAGAATTAGGGTTTCTCCTGGGCACTGTCAGCAAGTTATTCTTCCTTGTGTCCCCACAGCCCCACAGAATGGATCTCAATACTTATTTGTTGAATGAACCCGCAGCCAGCCTCACTGTGGTCAAGGTGGGGCGGGAGGGCCTGAACTTTGGCACAAAAAGACTCATTTTCAGGTGCAGACCTCAGGGAGCACAGCAGAGTGAGGAAGGAGGGGATAGCACAGAGCGTCCCTGAGCAGGCCCTCCAGAGTATCACAAAGGTCCAGAAAGAGCACACCCCTTGATCCAGAGGTAACTTGACCTAGAGGTAACTTGCTTCTCCATGGCTTGAGAAAATCTAAATGCAAATGGCAAATTTACTCTGAGAAGCATTGATTTTCAACATGGAGTTGGGGCAGGGTGTCTTTCAAAGTGAGCAAAGAAATTAATAAAGCTTTCCTTGTCTCAGCCACATGCCAGCCCTGCCTCCTCAGACCCATAACACCCCCAGGTGTGACTCTTCCAGGTCCCTTCTGCAGGGGCTGCTCAGCACCTTTGCCTTTTCCTAGTTTGATGGCCTGATTCTAAAGCCCTAAGGGTACTGATAAGGCTGGAGGATAGGGTAAGGCCCCTGAGGCCTCACACAGTCCTGGGAAGTTGGCTCTCCCTGCCATTCCCTTCCCCCATACAACCCAGACGATACGCTTTACAAGAGCAAGGTCCCATCACCATCCCTAGTCTGCTCCAAGCCAGAACTAAGCTCAGAATTGTACCCGGGAGTTAGCACAGTGGTTGGGATGGTTTGCTGTTTGAAGCCAGGGCCTTTGACCCGGTGAAGCTGCCTGGAGTTGTGCTTTCTCCCCTCACCAGCTGGGAGCTGACATGCTTCTCCTTTGGCCAAGAGCTAACTTGCTCTCTCCTCACTGTCTTCATACCTGCTCACCAGCTCTCCCCCTTCCCTCCCTGACCCCTCTGCCTCAGACTCACCAGCCTCTCCAACTGTCACCCAAGGCATCGTCTTGTTCTCATCTCCACTCAGTGTCCTCCCAGTGTCTCTGACTCAGATCCCTCCTCTGCATCCCACAGCCATTGTCCTGGACCAGGCTACCTGTCCTAGGTTGTCGGAGTGACCGTCCCAGCATGCATGTTGGGTCATGTTTCTGGGTTCTAAACTCATTCTCTGTCACCCACAGAACTGTTCCATCTCCTTTGCCCTGATCCCGCTCATGGGTCCCCTCTTAAATCTGAAAATAACGAAAACTAGTTCCTAAACAGACTCTCCTGTTTCAAACCTCCAGGCCTTTGCACATGCTGGTCCAAACGCTCCCCGCCCCGCCCCACCCCAAGTTCCTTCAAGTCCCGGCTGAGGATCTCCTTTCCAGCCAATCCCTCTACTGTGTGAAAACCTCTGGGTAACTGCTCTTCCATTAGACCTGGAGTTCTTCCAAAGCAGGGCCACCTGTGGCTCATCTCTGTGGCCGGGTTCAAAGCCGAGGGCGGCCGCTGCCTCCCTCCTGCTCTGCTCCGCCACGTTCCCTTTACCCCCAGGTCAGCTGAGCTTCCTGTCCGCTCCCAATCCTCCCTCCGGCTCTGGGCGTGTCTTCAAAGCCCACCGCCGTCCTCTCCGCCCCTAGAACCGCCCCTCCGCTCTGTCTCACTTCCTCTCGGGAGGCGGGCCCTGAGCGGGCACCGCCCCTTTCGCACGGGCTGGGCCGACTCTGGCGTCTGGCGCCCATCTCTCGTTCCGCTTCCCCTCCCGCCTCTCAAGCTCAAAACCAAGAATCGAAACTGTGCTGTGATCCATGCAGCAGGAACCTGAGCCCGCCCGATCTTCGGGTCCCCAGCAAGACCCCGCACTGCCCCATACGCCCACCATGCCTCCCCCGGAGCCCGTCTCCGAAGGCCATCAGCCCAGCCCCAGCCACAGCCCTGCGGAGGTACTACTGGGTTTGGGGAGATGGGATTTAGGCTTTGTTGATTTGCTATGGTGCGGGGAGAGGTGGGAAGGGAGAGGGTAACTTGACCAAGTACCTTAAAGAGTGACACAGGGAGAAAACCAGACATTGGGTCCTGACCCTCTTGGCTGGGGTAGGGAGGGGTACGTGAGAGTAGAAAAGGGCAACAGGATGGGTTAGGGGAGCCTCTCCCGGCTGGGATTCTCCACGGACAGGGGGCAGGACGCTGAGGGTCCGTGACACTTGGGACTGGACTCTTCTGGCCGTCCTGGCGACTCGCCCCCTAAGCCCTTGCCTCAGATGAAGGTGCACAGATTAGGGAGAATGGCGGGAGTAGCCCTATTGCGCAGGCCTGGAGCCAGGGGGATGTCCCAGGTGTGGAAAACCAAAACCCAAGTTCCCAGATCAGAAGGTGGGAAACTGGCCCAGATGAGAGAAGTGCCTTTGCTAAGGCCTCAGAGCTCCTGTGGTCGTTTCTCCACTAGGATACCTCCAGGATCCTTCTCTTGGAACACCCTGCGTGCCCAGCCCCCCACCCCTCCCCGCTTTGACCACAAGGGCTTACTAGGTCCTCCTCCTGGAAGCTTGCCTCAGTCAGCTCCCGGAAAACTCCCCAGCTGCCCTCCTCCCGCAAAGGAATTACTTTCATCACTTGCTCTATGTTCTCCCAGGCCCTTTGGCTTCCCTTCATGAAAGCACCATCTTGCAGTAACTTTTATTATTTGCATTATTAGAACTAGGATTTATTAAGTTCATAATTAGAACTAATTATGAACACTCCTGCCAGGTACTGTATTAAGCATTTTTTTTTTTTGCTATAAAATATCCATAACATGAAACTTACCCTTACCATGTTTTTTAAAGATTTTGTTTTTGGTAAGTAATCTCTACTCCCAATGTGGGGCTCGAACTTCCTGAGATCAAGAGTTGCATGCTCCACTCACTGAGCCAGCCAGGCCCCCAAAAACTTAACCATTTTTAAGTGTACATGTCGGTGGCATTAACTGTATTCACAACGTTGGGTAACCGTCACCACCATCTATTTCCGGAATTTTTTTTGTCACCCCCAACAGAAACTGTACTCCTAGGCGGTAGCTCCTTATTACCGCCTTGTCCCGGCTCCTGGTAACCTCCAAACTACTTTCTGTGGATTTGCCTAGTCGAGATTTCATATAAGTGGACCATGAAATATTTATCCTTTTGTGTTTGGCTTATTTTGCTTAGCATAAATGTCTTCAAGGTTCTCATAGCATGTATGAGAATGCCCTTCCTTTTCATTTTATTTATTCATTTATTCATTCACTTATTCATTTATTTATTTATTGGTAAAGACTTTAATTTTAAGTAACCTAAATCCAACGTGGGGCTTGAACTCACAAGCCCGAGATCAAGAGTCACATGCTCCACCAGCTGAGCCAACCAGGCCCCCCTTCCTTCCTTTTTAAAACTGAATGATATTCCATTGCACGCGTAGACCACTTTTGTTTATCCATTCATCTACTGATGGACACTTGGGTTATTTCTACCTTTTGGCTATTGTGCATAACGGTGCTATGAACATGGGTGTACAAGTATCTGTTTGGGTACTTGTTTTCCGTTATTTTGGGAAATATATCTAGGAATGAAATTGCTGGGCTATATGGTAGTCCTGTGTTTAACTTTTTGAGGAGCCACCAAACCACATTAAGCACCTTATATGATATTATATGAGATACACTTAATGGATCTCCTTTCTAAACTGAGTCCCATGAAGGCAGGGATTTATCCTATCCATCCATGGATCTCGGGGCCTAGAACTCTGTCTTATGGGAAGTTGATGCTACATGGTGGAGTGAGAGCAGGAAGGCCTGAGTAAGTGGGGGAGTGTGGTCCTGGTAAGCCTGGGTTTTGTATCATCCAAGGACTGCGCGGAATGGAATACTGGAGTCCCACTCCAGCCTCCAGCCACAGGAGCGGGTCTGGTGGGTGGGGGCTCCTGGATTTCAGGCCTTACCCCCACCTTTCTGGTCCCCCAGCAAGCCATGGAGGAGGAGTTCCAGTTCCTGCGCTGCCAGGGCTGCCAGGTAGAAGCCAAGTGCCCCAAGCTGCTGCCTTGTCTGCACACGCTGTGCTCAGGATGCCTGGAGGTGCCGGGCATGCGGTGCCCGATCTGCCAGGCGCCCGGGCCCCTAGGCGCTGACTCGCTCGCCCTGGATAACGTCTTCTTCGAGAGTCTACAGCGGCGCCTGTCAGTGTACAGGCAGATCGTGGACGCGCAGGCCGTTTGCGCCCGCTGCAAAGAACCTGCGGACTTCTGGTGTTTCGAGTGCGAGCAGCTCCTCTGTGCCAAGTGCTTCGAGGCGCACCAGTGGTTCCTCAAGCACGAGGCCCGGCCCCTGGCGGAGCTCCGCGGCCAGTCAGTGCGGGAATTCCTAGACGGCACGCGCAAGTCCAACAACATCTTCTGCTCCAACCCCAACCACCGCACCCCTATGCTGACGAGGTGAGCCCGCCGGCCCAGGGTGGGGTGGCACATCCGAGAGCCGGGTAGAAGGTGCGGGGAGCAGAGATCCAAAGAGTCACGCAGCTGGGAACGTGGGATAAGGAGCTTCAAGGGTCTTGCAATTCAGAGTGTGGTCCGCAGTCCGGCAGCATCTGGGGCCATGACCACGGTTTATGTTATCTCATGCAAATGGATAGTAATCCTAAACAGTTTCCCCCTGTAATAAATAATGCTGCAGAATCATCTTTACGCACTTATCCAATCATTTCTTCAGGGTAAATTTTGGAAATGGCATTGCAATTCAGGGGTATGAAAATTTTACACTTTGATACATGTTACCAAACTGCCCTTTAGAAAGTCTTACAGTGGAATTTTCCATGTCCTGGCCATGGAATGTGGGTATATGGTTAGATTTCTCAATGAGATGCAGGTAGTTTCTGTCTGAAAAGTCAAAACCATAACACCGTAGTATCTTGGAATGCCTATATGAAAAAAAAACAATTGAATCCAGTTAAAATTATTTTTATTAAACAGCACATTTAATTCAATATTTTTGATAGTACATTTGTATGGTTCAAAAAATTACACAATTTATAAAGAGAGGGGGCAAAGTCTCCATTTCACTCTGTCCCCATCTGCTTAATTCCTACCACTTCTCCCTCCCCCCATCCATCCACAGTTCACCATTGTTACCATTTTGAATGTCTCCAGAGTTTCTTTGTGACTATATGCACAGGTAGGGGTATATAGTCTTATAAATTCTAATTTTCCCCCTTTTTAGCCAAAAAGGGAGCATACCTACTTGAACTCTTCCTGCTCTCAATAGATTGCTCTTGTAAGATTCTTAGCAGTGCTGCTTGGGCATCTGCGTAGCTAAGGTATTCTTTGCCCCTTGGGGACACACTCAGAACTGCACTCCTGCTAAAACTCAGTGTGGCTTGCTTCCTGTGGCTTGCTTCCGGCTGGGACTTTTACCACATGCTCTACCAGAATGCCTTTCTGGCAGATTCCTCAACAGACAGACATTAGAATTTGGATTTTCTTGTTTGTTTGTTTTTTTAAGATTTTATTTATTTATTTGACAAAGAGAGAGATAGCAGAGCAGGAACACAAGCAGGGGGAGTGGAAGAGGGAGAAGCAGGCTTCCTGCCGAGCAGGGAGCCCGATGTGGGACTTGATCCCAGGACGCTGGGATCATGACCTGAGCCGAAGGCGGACACTTAACGACTGAGCCACCCAGGCGCCCTGGATTTTCCTGTTTGTTGTTAAGATTCAGATTTAGTGGCTTTTTATTTATTTATTTATTTATTTATTTATTTATTTATTTTTTAAAGATTTTATTTATTTATTTGACAGAGAGACAGCGAGAGCAGGAACACAAGCAGGGGGAGCGGGACAGGGAGAAGCAGGCTTCCCACGGAGCAGGGAGCCCGATGTGGGACTCGATCCCGGGACCCTGGGACCATGACCTGAGCCGAAGGCAGCCACTTAATGACTGAGCCACCCAGGCGTCCCAGATTTAGTGGCTTTTTAGATGTTTATTGGCCATTGTTTTTTTTTTCTTCATTTGTGAATTGCCTATTTAGGTCCTTCGCCTGTTTGGTTTTTTTTTCTTCAAGAAATCAGTCTCTAATTTCAAGAGCCAACAGTCCAAACATTTTCTCCTGTTGACCTTTGTCATTTCATTTCCTATGAGGGATTGTGTTTAAGTGTTTCGTTTTATAGAATCCAGTTCATCAGTCTCTTCCTGTATGCTATCCTGCTTCGATCGTGCTAGGAAAGATTTTTTTTCCCCAGGCCAATGTTAAAAATATTTTTTCTTATATTCTGTTTTAACAATCTCATGGTTTTATGTTTATAATTGAATCTTTAATTCATATGGAATTTATTTTTCTTTGTGGTATAAAGTAGGATTCCTCACTTTGCTTTTCTCTCCAAATTGAAAGCTGGTTCTCTCAACAACTTTTATTGGATAATCCACTCTTGCCTTCATCTCAAATGCCCTTTTCATCCTGTACTAAATGCCCAAGTAATCACGGGTATGTTTGTAAATATCTGTTCTGTGCTGATGATCTGACTATTCCTACGCTAATCCTTACTGCCATAGGAATTCCGAAGGGCAAATTCCCATTCTTCTTCACAAGTGCTTTTGCTTTTATGTTCTTAGAGTTGATGCAATTTCAGAACTTACATATTCATTGGGATTTTGATTGAAAATGTATTAAATGTGGGGAGAGTTGTCCTCATCTCTGATTATATCTTTTGAGTTTTATAGTTTTATGGACATACCTCTTGAACTTTTAAATTATAGTTAAATTTGTAATATTTAATGACCCTGTGAATAAAACCTTTTCCATTACCATTTCTAGCTGGTTATCATTAACATCCTCTAATCCTCCTAATTTATTATATCAGCCATCTGATTGAGCTCTTTTATTCTTGTAAGTTTTTCCAGTTGATTCTTTTTTTTTTTTTTAAAGATTTTATTTATTTATTTGAGAGAGAGAGAATGAGAGATAGGAGAGCACAAGAGGGAAGAGGGTCAGAGGGAGAAGCAGACTCCCTGCTGAGCAGGGAGCCCGATGTGGGACTCGATCCCGGGACTCCAGGATCATGACCTGAGCCGAAGGCAGTCGCTTAACCAACTGAGCCACCCAGGCGCCCTCCAGTTGATTCTTTTAGATTTTCTAGGTAAACAAATTGTGTCATCTGCAAATAATAAAAACTTTTTTTCTCTCCAGGATTTACACATATTACCTGCTTGTAGCTTTGTTTTGTTAGCTAGGACCGTCAGAACAATATTGAAGAGTGAGAGGAAGTGGTTAGAAAAGGCAACTTTAAAAAAAAGAAAAGAAAAGAAGACGATTTTATCTTATTCCTAGCTTTCATGAGAGTTTTTCTTATTTACTATGCTGTTTATTGTTGGCTTCCTTAGGTAACTACAAAATCACATTCAGAAAGTTGCCTCCCACTTCTAGCATAAGAGTTTTTTGTGGCTGCTATTTTGTTTTATTTTTAACTCAGGAATGGGTGTTCTTTGGGATTCTATGAAGGTGTCCTTTTACCTTTCAGTGTGATGAATTATATAGCAGTGTTTCTTTATTTTGAGCCATTTTTTTAATTCCCAGGAGGAAAAACCCTATTTGGTCCTGATATACTATTATTTTAATTCATAACTAGATTGCATTCAACCCGGTTTTATTTAGGCTATTATCTATATTTGTAAATGTGATTGATTTTTGTGAATACATATGATTTCTTTCAAGGTTTTTGACCCATTTTATACTAATATTTTTCCATGAATTTGTAAGCTTTTTTGAACATGGTATACACACACACAAACACAAATTGCTTAGCACAGTGCCTGGTACATATTAAATACTGAGTCAACGTTAAATTCCTATTCCTATAATTTCTTTGCTCTGCTCTAGAACAGCTAAAGAACATAGGTAGTTCGGGTTTATAGAAGTTTCTTGAAAAACTATCTGAAACTGGTGCTTTTTTTGAAGAGTAGATTTTCTCCCTGGTATTGGTCTGTTATGGGTCTTGAGTCAGATTTTCTGGAAAATTTTCCAGTTCATCCTGAGTTCTTAAAAATCCCCTTTATACCTATAATGATGTCCCCTTTCTTATTTCTAAACAAGATGTTAGTAGCTTACAAGTGGTTTGATGTAGGGGTTGGGGTGGGTTTCTCTCTAGGTACGATGGGCAAGGCTGGTCCAGCCAAGAGGGCAGGATTCCAGTCCCTTGAGCAATGTGGATGGCTTCAGAAACCTGACCATATTGCCTAAAAATCATGCACAGAGGGGCTTCTGGGTGGCTCAGTTGGTTGAGCGTCCGACTCTTGGTTTTGGCTCAGGTCGTGATCTTGGGATCGTGGGCTTGATCATAGGGCTCTGTGCTCAAGGTGGATTCTACCTGGCATTTTTGCTCTCCTTTTCCCTCTGCCCCTCCCCCACCCCCACCCCCCCACCCACGCTCGCACACTCTCTCTCTCTCACTAAGTAAAAACGTAAAACACATTTTTTTTTTTAAATCATACACAGACACTCACAATTCACATTGTTTCAGTTTGCCAGTGGTTACTGGACACCCTCAACTTCTGTTTTCTGCACAAAACTTCAGTGCCATAAATAACCCACAGCTTTCTTCAGGTCACGATGCAGTAGTAAACCACTCCATCCTTTGATGCTGGGCTGATTTAGGACTCAGGCTGGGGAGCAGCACCAGAGGTGGCTTTAGACTTAGAACTCAGCCTGGCGGTGTTTGCCTTGGGGCCACTGGCATCGATCGCCACTTCCATGGAGTACGTTTTTCCAGCCTACTTCCTCCTATGTGGCAGGCCGTCCACTAGGCACTAGGGGATAACTATGAACAGATACAGGCCTGGTGCTCTGTGAGGTCACTGTCTGGTAGAAGAACCAGATCTGCAACTAACCGTCAAGGCTGTAAAGTGCCAACAGGAAACCTGCTCACGCTGAGCTTGGGTAGTTTCACACTGTCCTCTACCTCTGTCCTCGCTCGGCACAGGGCTGACCTCGCTGTCTGTGCTCTGTCACTTGTTAAGGGCAGAAGAGAGGAGGAGCGCAGGTGCAAAAGCGAGTCGTCTTAGAAAAGGCATTGGCTGGGGAAGGCAGCTTCCAAGAGGGTGTCACATTTAGCCTGATGCGTAAGAAAGGAGAAATGGCATCAGGGGCAGGGTGGGGTGGGCCAGGCAGCAGCTACAAAGGCAGAAGCACTAGTCTGCTGCATTTCAGGAATTGCAAGTAAAGGGATGCCTGAAGGCAGGGGCCGAAAGGGGGAGCTGGAGTAAGATGCGGGGCGGGGGGGCTTGGAGTTAGGACTCTATCCTATCATTCTGAGAACAAACGTTCTCAGCTTGCTCCTTTTTCATGCAGTCCTTGTTTTACCAGTGAATGGCCTATGGAACATAACTTGGACGGGAACCCAAGGGGGGGCTCTGTTGGAAGCCACCGGTGGGTGTTAAGGCAGAGGGTGGG